AGAACAAGGAAAGACAAAAAGAAAGAAAGAGTGAGAGTAGAGGATAAATGCCAAAGGAAAGAGGAAGAGAAAAGCAGGAAGGCAGGGAAGGGCGCCTAGATGGTTATGGGAGATGGGAAGGGTAACCGGTGGGAGAGGTGGGAGACCTAGGATGAAGGAACACTAAGATGGCACATGCCAGGTGATGAGAGGGGAGGCTTGAAGGGGAAGGGGAGAAGAAGAGAGGGCAAACTAGAATGAAGGAGGAATCAGAAGAGAGGAAAGAGCAGAGCAAGGAAAGAACAAGGAAAGACAAAAAGAAAGAAAGAGTGAGAGTAGAGGATAATGCCAAAGGAAAGAGGAAGAGAAAAGCAGGAAGGCGGGGAAGGGCGCCTGGATGGTTATGGGAGATGGGAAGGGTAACCGGTGGGAGAGGTGGGAGACCTAGGATGAATGGGAACACTAAGATGGCACGTGCCAGGTGATGAGAGGGGAGGCCGGAAGGGGGAAGGGGAAGAAGAAGGGTAAGTATAGATGACATCACGAAAATCGCATAGACTGTGCTGAGAAGCCTTATCGCATCCTTTCCTGTCTGAATAGTGTCTTTCCTCTGCTCCTTGTCTGGTTGTCCCTTTCTTTCTTCCAATCTTCTATTTACCCTTTCTGTTTATGGTGGCTGCTGTATGCCTTCTTAGAAGGCGCGTCTTATCATATCTTACCTAGGCCCTACATCTCTCTCTCTCTCTTTCTCTCCCACCCTGGCCCTCCCTGAACAAAGACATATATATATGTATATATACATCATATCCCTTCCCCTCTTCTGCTCCTCTCTTCCTCTTTCCTTTGTCTCTTATTCTCTACCACCCCTTTCTTCTTCTCCTTGCCTTGCTTTTTCCTCTATTCTGATTTCTCTGTCCTTTAAGCCTGCTACAGTATCATGTTTTTTTGATTCTTTTCCTTTCCCCAGTCTCCCCTCTCATCACCTGACATGTGCCATCTTTGTGGTCCACTGCTCCCCCTTTATACTATACTGTTCATTCAAAGTGGCCGGTGTTCAATGCTTTGGGTTTTTGTTATTCCTTGGCTATCATTCCTGCTTTGCTTCCTGCCTTGGTCTTCTTATATACATAGTTTGTATGAATATATAGCTTCTTTCCTCTGCTCCTTCTATTTGTTCTTCTTTTTTTGTTGCAATCTCCTGTTTCCCCTTTCTGTTTATGCGCCATCCCATGTCACCTGATTGCCTGTGTATTCTTATTGATGTTATGTATGGATGCCATCTTTGGGAGCGGCCAAATCTACTAGTTTTATCCCACCTGTTCGTTTGGCTTAGATGGATTTTTGAGCGCTTTTTCGTGATGCCATCTATACGGTGAAGTCTATAGTAGCAAGGACGCTACTAGGGGCTCCTGGCCTTACTACTAGGAGCAAGGACGCTACAGTACTAGGGGCTCCTGGCATCGCTACTAGTAGCAAGGACGCTACTAGTTTTGCGTCAACATTGACATCTTCATCAGTGTTGTCTGGACGTGCCCGGTGGGTGGGGTGGGGGAGGACGCTATGTGCGAAGTCGTGGGCTTGGATGTGGCGTCACCACCAGAAAGCTTGTCCGGTAGACATGCAGAAAGCAGGTCCGGAGAGGTCGCTTTCGGTCTGGTTGAAAGGTGGTACGTTGTTGTGGCGAAGCCACCAAAAACAAAAAACATGAGGACCCTCTCAGTAGGCCAAGCCTGAAAGCAAACAACCAAATTGCTGTAGGTTTCTGATGGTTTGTGTATGGTCGTGCAACATGGACAGATGCTGACGCACTAAAACACAGGGGCCCTCGCAACGTTGTCACCTTGTTTGAAACCATGCATAGTTAAAATGTATATCTGAGACGCGAGCCCCAACGAATATAAGGTCATGAGAAACTTCAAGGGCTTGAAACTTCAGACTTGTGCTATGCAAGGTTTCGTGCCGGGCTTCTTCGACTCTTCCATGAGTTTTGGTTTGTTGATCGAACGATTCAAGAGTAACTCGGAAACATTTCCTCCGTCTGGCTTTATCTGTGGGTGGCAATATGATCAATATGTGGCAATTATCCGGTGGGCAAGTTGGGTTTGTCAGGTTCTCTTCGTGTCCTTCATATTTTCAACCTGAAAGCCCCATGCCCTGTGGTCTAGCTATCCTCATTCAGGCTTCCATAGACCACCGGAAGGAGAAATTGTTGTTCATATTGCATGCCTGATTGGAGTCGGAGCATATTGGGGCCTACTGTGCGACGTGTTCGATATTTTACCGTCCCGTCCGCCTGCATGCAGTTTTGCGTTCGCTCTTAGTCAGCTGCTTGCAAAGCATGAAAGAAGGAGAAACAACGTTGGGGAGTCTGGGTATGTCCACCTGATGTTATCTGGTCCCCTTACTGCTTTGAAAACACTTGGCCGGATCCAACTTGCAAAGCTCGCCCAAAGCTGAGCAACAAGTCTTGCACCAGGCCCCCTTTCATTTGCTCCAACTTCGTCATGATCTTTTGACACCGATCCTCAGTGCACTGACGAGAACAAAGACCCCAAGCAGGAATTGAGTTCCAAGATGTTCCCAGAGGTTCAAGGGAACCGCAACACTGCGCCCAAGTACCAAACACAACGCCTGCAGTCTAGGAGACTGGGTGTTTCGCGGACCATTCCACAAGTAAACAAAGGCTCAGCTCAATTCTATTCATCGAGCTATGAATAGACAAGATGTTGACACACTTTTTCTTTGTCCTGGTCCTATGCGATTTGGAACATAAAAGTCAAGTGTGCAGAACAGCCCTACTCACACCCAAGTTTGGCTGTTGAACAGGAAAACAAGTGTTGAAACAATTGAGGATGAGGCAAGCCAAGAGTCGTGGACGTTCTGTGCCTCTCGCATACGTTCCTGAAACCTGCTGCAAAGCAGCGAGAATCTATCTTCGAGCTCCTGTGGCTGAGGCCATGATCACCTTTTAGTGTTCGATTGGATTCCATAGTTCCTCTGCTAAAATCACAGTTGAGTCACAAATTGTTACATCATGTTACATCCTGTTGTGTGCCGCATCTGAGGAGTACCCACAAGATTCTGTCATCTCTCGCCAACCGTTCTTATGAACTCTTATGAATAGAGGTGCACTACAAGTAGCTCCGAAAAAGGCAATGCTGCTGAGGCTACTGAAATCATGGTTCAGTGACCTTTGGTTGTAAAGATATGCAACCAAAGTAGGACTGATGG